AACCTCTTCTAGTTAAATTTTTGAGGTAGGCTCTAATTGTTTAGAGCCTTAGCTCTATGTAAACTTTTCTCTCTATATATATATATGTATATATATATATATGGTGTGGTTTGCATAGAGCCTAAGCTCTAAACAATCAAATTAGAGCCTACCTTCAAATAGTGTTGAAAAATGTGGTTTCAATACTGGAAATTTTTGTGATAGCATTAAAATATATTTTCATGTTTATTTATGAATTTTAAATATTAAAAACTAGTGTAGATCGACAGATCTGTGAAAACTTGAAAATCTTGAAAATTGACGGTCCAAAAATGAGTTACAAAATACAATATTTCCGAAACTTGAAATCCATTTTTTTCTCATGTCCATCATCTTGATGTCGAGATGATCAATTTGATGATATTTGGGCATCGAAACAACATCTTCTAGTGAAATTTTCGTGATTTGAGTGTTTAAAGCCTCGGCTCTATATATATATATATATATATATATATTATTCATATCCGAAATAATCATTAACATAGTTTCCAATATTAAAAATAAATATATCGGCGATATTTGAAATGCATCTTTGTAAAGTCGTAGCCTCTTTTGTTTCTCTTTTTTTTTTTTCAAAGTTGTCCATGAAACAGCAGTGCATGAATCCTTTTTGGGGGAAAAGCTGAGAAATATGACTGCCATGGCCCCACTATATCGATGAATAGATAGGAGGAAAATTGTTACATGGAGGCTGGATCGCATGACTACATATGCGGTCCAAAAAGGGTAAAGCATCCATCTTAAAGATGGATGCAATTAGGTGTTCCATCTAAAAAACAATGGTCTAAATGTTTTTTTAGTAGAATTATTATTGCTAGTTTTTAAAATTTATGTAATTTTTCATATTCATGATCTCCATATTGGAGATTGCATGTCCTTAAAAGTCCAAAAATCCTTAAAGGTTCAAAACTCTATCTCAAAAATAGATTTATTAATAGGCCCGCAGTTCTACATATGCAAGCCTAGATAGAAATAGAGGAGCCTACATAATGTGATGGAATATACTCTCTCTAATAAATACCTCGTATTTTTAAGTTTCATTTCACAATAGACCTAAGGTTTTAAAAGATATCTTGGAGCATAAAAATTATAGATTTTATTTCTTCTAACCTCTTGAGTTAATTTAAACATGTTTTTTTTAGGCCAAACAAATATAAAAAGACATGTCTTTTTTAAAACTCATCATCCTAAACTTCCAGAGAGAAAAGGATTTCATGGAGGTGAGAGGTTACTGAGATGAGAGAAAGAGAGGTGTTTGAAGAAACACAGTAGGAGAGAGAGAGTGAGAAGCATAGAAAGAGAGAAAAAGAGAGAAGTTTTGGGATATATAAGTGAAGAGAGAGAAATGATTGGGTTTAGAAAGAACATATATTTTTCACATATGTTAAAGTTAAAAAATAAATTTAAAGTGGCAAGTGGGTTAAAAGATATATTTTGAAACCTTGAGTTTATCAAGAAATGAAACCTAAAAATAAGAAATATGAAGATATTTTTCTTAAAATTAAAGTATAAGCTTTTTGTTTTCCTTTAATTAAACATACATGCTTGTTTGCTATCCGCATAAGTAAATGCAAACATGTTTGGAAGAGAGAGTATGGTGTTGGTTGGAAAATAAAGGAAAACTATACTATTGAGGCCCTTGATTGGCACGCTTTTCCCAATGGATTGTGATACACTCAGTTTTTGGTCAAGTGGGCTCTCCTCCTTTACCAAAGTAAATAAAGCCTCACATCATACCTCATCCAAAATTATGATTCAAATATTCAAAAACCGTTATATCTATCATCTCAACGTGAACATTTTGGTTGTAAAAAAAAAAAAAGAGGATTTCACCCTCTAAAAATAGTATATATTTTTAAAATATATACTCCATCCATTTTGCCCTAAAAATGACTAAAAATAGTATATATTATAACATTAATGTGGCCTTATTATGAAAGAGGTAAAATGTCTTATAATTTACAATCCCAAAATTAAAGGAAAATGTTTATATGAGGTTGCAATGTTATATTATGGAAGTTAGGTGCACCTTGAAAATCTAGTATAAAAGAGCATTCCAAAGTTAGAAAACCTCTCAATTGATTATCTCCACCTCGAAATGTATAAATATAAAGAGAAAAATAATCATAAATCTTAAAAATAATACATCTTGTAATAAGTTATCTATACATTATATTTTTAAAATTTACAAATATTTATCGGTCAGCTTGATCTGCACTATTTTTAGAATTTTAAATTTTATAATTAAAGTTGAATATAGATGTTCAAGCCACCATAAGATTCCAACACCAGGACTACATTTGCCAGCAAAATTTACTTGTATAGTAGAAGGTGGATAACCTAATAAAAACCTCAACCAAAACTAAATGCATCAATAGGAGCTAAAGTAGTCAAAAGTTTCTGCCATTTTATTAATAACACTAGTGCAACATAGGCTTTACTTACAGTGGCAATACCCCTCTAGTATGCGATGACATTGCTTAAAATTTAGATGTTAGAATTCCTCAATCACAAGTTCATGTCTCATATTGTGAGCACCCCTGCGATAGGAAGGCCACTAGATGATGATTCCTTGATTACATTACCATCTACTGAGGCCAAATGCCTTTAATAAAGCAAGAGCAAAGGCATCCATTCCACTTTTTTGACCTAGAAAATCCACTTGTGGCACCTTATCGATCAGTGGGGACAAAAGAAAAAATAAAAGACTAAAGCCCCTATATATCAATTTGGATTCCAAAAATAATATAGGGGTTGCAATGGGTCGAGTTCGTATTGGCTTGTCATCTGATAGGGCTGGATTAGGTGAAGCCCCTATATATCAATTTGGATCGCGAAAAGAATATAGGGGTGGCAATGGGTCGAGTTCGTATTGGCTTGTCGTCTGATAGGGCTGGACTAGGTGAAGCCCTATATATCAATTTGGATAGTAAAAATAATTAAGGGGTGGCAATGGGTCAAGTTTGTATTGGCTTGTCCTCTTATAGGGCCCGGACTAGGTGAAACACCTATGTATCAATTTGGACTCGGAAAATAATTAAGGCAATGCGCCAAGTTTGTATTGGCTTGTCCTCTGATAGGGCACGGACTAGGTTAGACTTGGGTGAGGCCTAGCACAGCAACCTAGGGCCTTGGCCAAGCCTATTTGAAGGGCCAATTTGAGGGACCCCCCTTCATATTCAATTCGGCCTGACTGGATTGGGTTGGGCTATGAACAGCCCTGGAGGGATTATCATGGGTGTTTAGGAGAGGTCATGGTACCTTAGCTTAATTGAGACCCTCAAACCCCAACCCTGATACAATGGTTGCACATTAAAAGGTAAAATGTACAATAAGATCATTTGCTATGGAACAAGAGGATTGTAACCATCCTTAACACATGGTTGTGAATTCGGACTAAGCAGGGGTATCTGAGCTTAAAATCCCAAAAACTTTTCTTTGATTTTCTAACGTTTTGAGCTCCTTGATTTCACATCTATTGGCTTTAGAATTAATGTGACTTTGCTGTGTGAGACAGGCAAATCATCTTATAGTTTACAATACCAGATATTAAATGCAACAATTGTAGTTAAAATGGTGATTTTTTTAATAAAGTTATATTTCCTCTCGTTGTGAATGTTCAGAAACAAGACTCGGACCCACGACCCGGCTGGGTCCCAAGTCCAAGTTGTCTGTATAAACTCGGTCGAGTATGTACAAGTTGTAATGATAAAATATAAGAAACGGTCTTTGGCTGGTTCCCACTCAAACTCAAAACCCTGTTGAGTCTGAGTAATTCATGGAAGTTCCACTGGGCGAGGACCCGTCCAAAATACTACATGCACTTAAGATTTACTTTAAAATGGTTAAAGTATCCTTTTTATAAACTAACAAGAATGCTTATCACTTAAGCAAAGTTTTCAAACACTTAATAAAGGTAGGGGTGGCTATGCACCCGGAACTGACCCAAGACGCGACGGGTAGACCCGACCTAAGTCCAGGTACGGGTACAAAAATTGTACCCGTGTCGGGTCTAGGTCCAAATCTTGGACCCAAACAGTGTTCGGATCTGAGTATGGGTCCGTTCGGGTTTGAGTCCGGGTCTCACGTCATATTTCCGTTTCCCGCTACAATAGGTTTGCTACCGGCTTAGAAGTTCGTACCCATCAAAAAACATTACAAGGATTAGATGAACCAGTGAATTAGCAAGGGGTTTAGTCAGAAAAGCAATAAGATTGACGATTAATCAGAAAGGATTTAAAAAAAAAAAAATGACCGGACCTAACCTAGGCCCGGGTATGGGTCCAAGAATTGGACCCAGCAGGTCGGGTTCGGGTCCAGGTCTGTGTCCGTGTCCATGTGGACCCGACACGACTAGTGTTATTATATAAATAATATTTAATACATAATGTTTAAATAAATATATTATATATTTTTAATCATAATATTTAAATAATACGTGTATATATTGAAAATAACATTTAAATATTTTTATTTTATTTTTAGATGGGGTCTTTTTCAGGTCCAAATCTAGGAACGTCGGGTCCGGTTGGGTCTAGGTCCCATGTTATCTTTTCGGGTGTCCAGCCAGATGCAACCCGTCGCCACACTACTTTTGTGAGGTGGTAGAGTGGGTGTGCTCCCTGAACAGTCTGACGAAAAAACTAGCCCCTAAATAAAAATAAAATTTAAAACTAACGTCCCTCCATTAACAAATGACTTCATTCGCTTGACAATACTTACTGGGCCACTCAGATGGGGCCTAAGTAGAACTAAATCAAGCTTACGGACCTATATCACGCTCTTATACAGCATTGATTAGGAGGTGCAATTTGGTTTAAGTAACCGGCTTTAAAAAGAAAAAAAAAAAACCCACAAAAAAATAAATAAATAAAAGTAGTGAGAAAAGATATGATAATTATATATGACACTCACAGCATTACGAACTTTTCATTTATAAAACTCATAAATTAAGTTGGGTATGCAAGGAAATAATGCCGCATGTTTTCTATAAGAAAAACCTTAAAAGGAAAGATGAAATTCGTTATGTTAGGTATTGATAGAAAATGATATATATTAGAAGTTATGTCATCCTTGATATTATTTGCATTTAGAGTCCATGAAAATTCATGATCCTCTCAGTGCACTCTCGGATAGGTTATCCACTGTGTGCACCCCATCCTCTGAAGCAATAACTGCTGTGCACCTGTAGAAAATTTTCAAATAATTAAAAACACAAAGGACATTATCATGAATAAAAGCTACCATCTAGGGCTGAGAATTTACTCGATCGAAATCCGAATCATGAATTTTAGATCCTATTCTGGGTATGGAACAAAGATTTGGATCTGAAATTCAGAACCGAATCTAAAATTTAGATTCAGATCCCAATACATGATCCATTTTTTAGATACTATATCATTATATTTATTAATTTATATATATTTATAATTTTTTAAACTTTTAGAAGAGCAAATCCGGATCCCATGTATATTTTTCCAATCCGGATTGTGGATCCCATGAATAATTTTTAGATCCAGATCCGGATCCCATGAATAGTTCTGATACGGATCTTGATCCAAACATTCTGGATCTTATCGGATCCAGATCTACATCCAGATTCCATGTATAGTTTTTAGATCCGGATTTGGATCTGGGAGAATCTGGACCCATCCGAAAAATTCTCAACCCTTATATCGCCTTCCATTGAAATTTCCATTATCCACTCTAAAAAATAATGACAAGTTTTAAGAGATTAAATAAAGTTAAGGGCACAAACGGAATGCCACAAATCACTCCATGTTCCACAACACCATCAACTGCCTCAAGGCTTTGTGCCACTTGAGCTGTAAATAAACCAGGGTGAGAATAAGTGCATTGACAAGTTATCAGAGATTCTTCTTCAAACAAAATTGATTTTTACCCATAAATACTGAGCTTGTAAAATTCAAATTTAATTTCCTCGATGTAGCATGAGCAAGAATGGGACTTAAAAACCAGCATATTACATCAAAAGAACGGGGGTAAAAACCCTTGCTGATGAAAACACAAATTAGAAATAAGAGATCGAACAAAGTCTCGAATTGCCACGTAAATCATGCCGGTGCTCCAAAATATTGAAAATCTCAAAACAATGGAACTTTCAATTAGACATTCCTATTCAAATGACTATTTTAGCTCTGATCCTGCATTTGTACTATAGAACAAGCGATAGTATTTATACAGCACACGATTTTTATCTGATGCATTTCACTAAGATACTTTCACTTGCTGGGTGTTTCCATATACTGCACCTGGGGTAAAATGGTCACAAAGAAAAATGACTGCACCAGTTACTGGCTATAGATTCCAATTGTCTGGAGCACCTTCATGGTTTATGCAGGCTTTCTTGTAATTTCCCTTACATGGTTCCTTAAACATTAAAAGGACTGATTTAAAATTTTACGTTTCTAGTCAATAAGACAGGAGAACAAGCTTACATAGGTTAGAAATAGGAGACGTGAATATTAGATCAAGAATGTTGTATCCTTCTGTTGTGATTATTGGAAAATCACCTCCTGTTGGACCTGCATTCCCGATAGCAGATCTCCTCCAAACCTACAATGGATGTTATTATGAGTAAATAAGGACTGATAATCCAAACATTGATCACAGTAGACAATACACACACACACAAAACCAAAAAAAATAGGAAAGAAAAAGAAGAGTAAGCACAACTTATAGTATATTTGGCCGATGCATATCACTGTTTCTAACAGAACAACGGATTTCAATATGCTTGAAATTTAATGAGGCAGACATAAAAGCTGCATACAGATTAACCATGTGCCACAAATCCAACAACGAGCTGCATCTTGATCATTGACAGCCTATGACCTTCAAGACTATTGAGCAGATTTCTAAATTATTAACACCATGCTGACACCATATTTGGAACACTAGAAACTGATATTGCAGACCTAAAGAACAAGTCTGAAGTCCTAACTGTCACACCACACTCTAACGTTCCCCGACTAGAAATCAGGACTCAATAGATAGGCAGCAAAAGATATGCATGCTAGTTCTGGGGACAGCTTAAGGCACACAATGAGCTTTTACAGTCTGTAAATAAACAATATGCTACCCTTAAGAAAGAAATTTGTTTTTGAAGCTCAAAAGAAAGAGGTGAGCGAAGCAAAAAACAACTCACAGGTGGTAACTTGAATCCTCACTCTAGGTGGGGTGGCATAATGATATACACCTTCTCTATTTGATGGGCTTATTCATACCTCTCTACAGGGGCAAATATTTACTTCTCCTAACCATGTCTACCTACCAATAGGGGCGAAGCCTTTCGACCTAATTAATTATAGACTTCCATACTTACCACTCCCTCTTTCCATAACACAGAACGCAACTATCAAGTTTCTCCCACCTTGAGCCTCCCGCACCAGCTTCACTTCACAACCACATTATCAAGTGATTTTGAGATTCATTGCACCTATTCTTCATCCTTCCTTAAAGCTATAGTCTCTCACAAAATCTTTAGAATAATAACTTTCCTTCTTTCCTATTCCAATAAACCAAAGTCATAACCAATCAATACACCCCCAAATATCTTGATATAGGTGGTGTTTCCTAGGAAGCATCCAGTGCTGCAGTAACCTAGTGTAATTAGAACTTTGGCCTCTTGAAATGCTAATTTGAAGCTTCTTGATCTGAACAAGACTGTTGATACAGGAAATGTCTTTCAGATGCCTTCTATGCTTACTTTCCACAAAATTTAGGAGATGAAGGTGCCCATTTTTCATTTTGAATAATTCCAAATGTAGACCTGTAGAACTGAATTATGTATAGAATGCATCAATTCTAGTCAGATATTACCATAACAAGTGAGATATGATCGTCTTTGAAGTATATGCATCTCCAATGCATTGGGAAATCAGGATATTGATGTGAGGATATGGTGGCAAACCTCTGCATCTCCTAAGAATAGGTCGTCAATTTCTTCTGCAGTTTCCATCCATCTCTCCTGAAAAGAAAACAGAGAGATGAAACTTATTAATAAAGTAATCCAGAATCCATCTTCATTTCTAGAACACACTAATGTTGTCATGCCATTTCGACTTACAGAACGGATTACAACTGGAATTGAACCATCAATGTCTCTTGTGTACTGCATTTGTGTAATGATGAATACAAGACTACTTGTAGCCTTCAAAATAGACTGTAAAAGAAAGACCGAATTAATGCATCATTATGTCAAACCATGCAGAATCAGGATATGTTGTCAAAAATCTGACTGATTACTAAAATAGTAAGGGTTTGCTTACTGGTCTAGTGATTGGGTTTCAAACAGTTGGCTAGCAACTCCTCAGCCATCCATTGTTAACAGCAGACGACTGAGGATTTGCTAGCAGCTTGTTTGAAACCAAAGTGCTATCAAACAATACTGTACCAAGTAATAAAGATAATATAATAGAAACAATAAAGTCATACTCAAAAGACAAGCTAACACTTTACATGGAAACTTCAGAACATTAATTCTTAATTGTTGCAACCTTCAAACCATGCAAACAAAAGCTTCTATGCTACAATTGACCTTATTGCCTATTTCAACAAAAAAATGAAATTATAACCAGATATTACCATGATCATTCATCACCTATGTACCCAAAGGCATGGCCAAAATAGGACAGCTTCCCTCCTAAGAATCATAAATCTTAAGCTTGAACTTATCAGATAGTTGATGAGTGTTGGGATAGGATTGGTAAGCCCGGTTGGGCAAATTAGGTTACTAACACATTTAAGGGCAATGATGTTTATCTGAATGAACCTAATGATCATCAAGTGGAGTCAAATTCTGTTGGTGACTCTATTGTGCTTTCAAGAGCAGAATATAAATGACCTTGTTAGACAAGTACAGCAGCCTACTGTCCATCCTTCCACTTCCACTACCACCCTTGCCAACTTGGGTTATTCCCTCGGGAGTTTCTAGGCACATGACTAGTGAGTCCCTCTATTTTCGTATTTCTAGATAAGTGTATTCTTAATCCCTCTGGTATTTTGGTTGATGGATTATTGTTTAGTGTGGCTGGAAGGGGTACAGTTATTCCTACTTCCTCCCTTTCTCTGTCCTCTGTGCTATATGTTCCAAAGTTTCCTTTCAGCTTGTTGTTTGTGAGAAAATCAACTAAATCTCTTCAGTGCTCCGTAACTTTTTACTCTTTTGTATCATTCAGGATCTAAGGGCAGGGAGGATGATTGGTGGCGGGTATGAGTCAGGTGGTCTATACTATTTGGATCATAATCTGATCGGTGCTGCCATTTATTAAGCTCTCTCCCCCTTCTTATGGAATTGTCGACTAGGCCATCCTTCTGTCAATAACTTGAAGGTTTTAGTCCCTTCTTTACTGTCAGTATCTACATTAGAGTGCGAGGCTTGCCAACTAGGCAAGCATCATAGGGTGCCATTTCTTCCTAGAATTGATAAATGGAGACCTGTTCCATGTACAATTGTTCATTCTGATATATGAGGCCCTGATAGAGTACAAAGTTTGTTTGGTCATGGATAATTTGTAGATTCCATGGATGATTATTATGGTTATAATTAACAAAAGAAAGATCTGAAAATTTTTCCCTTTTTTCATTGTTTCACTAGGATATCCAAACTCAATAGAATAAGAATGTGTGCATTTGACATTCTATTAATGCTAAAGAATATCTTTCTAGAGAATTTCAAAATTATTTTGCTCAAAATATAATTTTATATCAAACTTCTTGCGCGCATACTCAACAAAATGGAGATGCTGAAAGCAAAAATCAACATTTTCTTGAAGTAACCTGAACTCTGTTAATTAGTATGCATGTTCCAAAAGTTTACTGGGGAGATGCCTTGTTGACCTCATGTTATTTAATTAAATCTTTTGGCCCTTTAGTTTTGACCTCAAGTTGTCAAGTGTATTTTTCTTCACTATTCATACCCTCAGAAAGGTTATCTTGCTATTATCTTGCCATCTTGGTTTGCGAAAGAAATTTGCTTGTGTTGATATTACCTTTTTTCAAATAGTCCTCATTTTTTCAAAAGAGGATGCAAATTTCTTTTATCCTGCTCCATAAGAAGTCTCACAGTCCCCATCTTCTATAGTATTCTTCCTATTCCTGTTGATAATTCTTCTTCATCTCAATTACCTAAACCCGCTAACATGTTACTTCTACACATCCATGTCCCTTAAGAGTAGTCCATAAAGGTCTACACAAGAAAGAAAGTGCAAGATGAACATCCTTCACTGACCCAGCCGACCACTCAATCATCATCTTCGCCTATAAATCTACTTCCTGCTTCTAACTGACATTCTGTGTCCAGTGATGATAATGTACTTACCATTTGTAAAGGAATAAAGCATTGTACTCAACATCCCCTTTCTTATTTTGTTACCTTTCCAAATTTGTCTTCAATCTATCCAAGTTTTATTTCCCCAAGTCTTATTAAGAAGCACTTTCTCATAGTGGATGGAAGAAGGCAATAGAAGAGGAAATTGATGCACTCAACTTAAATGATACAAGGGAGTTCACGGAGTTACAGGTTAGAAAAAGAATCTTTTGAGTGTAGCTAGGTTTATGTAGTAAAATATCAGCTTGATGACACCATCGAGATTAAAAGCCAGGTTGGTTGTGAGACGATACACCCAAAACTTTGTCATTGATTAGTTTGAAACTTTTGCATATGTTGCTAAACTTTATTCAGTTCAAGTGGGTATATCTATAGTAGTAGACAAGGGCTGGCAGATATAGTAGCTTGATGTGAAGAATGCCTTCCTCCATAGTGATTTACAAGAGTAGTGTATATAGAGCAACTACCTGGGTTTGCTTCTCAAAGGGAGTCAGATAAGGTATATAAGTTGAAGAAAGCCATTCACAATTACAGTTAACATTATAAAAAAAGAAAGCCATTTACAATCTAAAGTAGTCCCTACATGCATTGTTTGACAAATTTAGTGAAATTGTTTTGAATTTCGATGCATCCATGCATATCATTCAAGGCGTGTTTGATTTGTGGAAGACACGGTTTCCAATTCTGTCCTTGTTTTATAACAAGGAAGTTTACAATAAAGGGGATATTGCGGTATCCACTTGCCTTATACTTAAGACCAAAAAGTGGATACCGCCAGTTCTATGGGGGACCATGGAAGGTAGCCACTTCCCTGGAAGATGCGGTTTCCAAAACCACATCTTCCAGAATTCGAACACGCCTTCAATGTTTATTTGGAAACCGAACTTCAAGATAATTGTCTTAGTTGTATATGTCAATGATATTGTCATTACAAGTAATGATCAAGAAGGAAACAGTTATTTGAAAAGGCACCTAAAACAATATGTCCAGATAGAAGATTTGGGTTAGCTAATGTATTTTTTAGGAATTGAAGTAACCAAATCAAAGCACGGCATTAACTTGTCGTAAAGAAAGAATGTGATTAATTTGTTGATAGAGACTGAAATGTTAGGAGCTAAACCAGTTGATACTCCTATGGATTCAAATACAAAATTATTGGCTGATAAGGGTGAGTTGTTTGAGGATCCATGTAAGGTACAGACGACTGGTAGGCAAGTTGATTTCTCTAACCCCCACTAGGCCTGATATTGATTTTGCACTAAGTGTAATGAGTCAGTTCATGCACTCTCTAAAGAATCCTTACTGGGATACTGTTTGGACAATTTTGAGAATCTGAAGGGACCTCCTAGTAGATGTCTGATTTACAGGTTAAATAATCATTTTGATCAGTGAGAGTTACTTAGATACTAATTGGGTAGGTTCTCCATCTGAAAGGTGGTCTACCAAAGGTTATTGTATATTTATTGGTTGAAATCTGGTTACATGGAGAAGTAACAAGATGTTGTCGATAGATCTAGTGCAGAGGTTGAATATAGAGAATGACCATGTGAATTGATGTGGCTGAAGACACTAATACAGGAGATTGAGTTTACTATTGTTGAACCTTTGAAGATGTATTGTAATAATAAAGCTGCAACCTACACAGCCAGCAATCCAGTGCTTATGACATAACTAACATGTTGAAGTAGATTGTCATCAGTTGGCAGACATCTTCACCAAAGACCTTGGTTGTGACCTGCTCCAAACAAATTGTTCCAAGCTGGGCATGGGTGACATTTATGCTCCAGCTTGAGGGGGACTATTAAAATTCTTTTTTATCATTATTTCTCTTTTATTTAAGTTATTAGGACCTATATGTTCTATTTCCAGTTTGCATGGGCAGATTTTTCATTTCTCTTATTTATTAATATAAAAGATATTTGAGAGGTTTGGGAGACCTATTGAACTCACATCACTCTTCCTCTACCTCTTTTCTTTTCATCTCTCTCTCCCTCTCTTTCTCTCTCTCTCTCTCTCTCTCACATAACTATATAAGGATGAATGGTTTTGACAATTTACAAAAAGTGACAGTTTTGTATTGTGGCCAAGAGTGCACACTACGGCTATCACAATAATTAAGCATATCAGTATGAATGCTAGGCCAAAATATGGCTGACCAAGCAATGACACATATTTGGGATTGAATATTTTGTGTTTTTTTAAGCTGTTTGGGATTGAATATTTTGTTTTCAGTTCAATTGTGCAAAACGCTATCCATTGTAAACCACAAATTGGTTATAGAAATTTCAAGATCACAAACCATACTGCATTACAATTGTGAAACGTTTGGATTGTAATTTCTCAAAATTTCTAGAACATGATCGCACTACTTTACAACTCACATTTATTAACTCAAGAAGCCTATGGAGGCCACATAGGATAAGAAGGTGAAATACCTTCGCTTGAATTACAGACTCAGACCCTTGAAATTTGGGACGACCAATTATAGCAGCCAGTGTATCCTCCTCTACTATATCTGCATCGTTAAATGCAACATCGGTCTGCAATATAAAAGCACTGAGGTTTAGCCTTCCAATACCAGCTAATGAGAGCATCTCTACAATTTAAATTTGGAGATAATATTCGCAGAAAATTTTTAGTAACAAGTATGTACCAAATAAGATGAATGTAAAACAAGAAATTCAATCCGAATGTTATAACATTCACAAACCCTTATCTACATGCAACCAATGGATTTGAAGAAATAAGATATTTTATGCACACTTTGGGTGTATCTAGGTGATTATCCAATGGAATCCCGGCTTTTGCAGCCTCACTTGCAGCAGATACAGACCTGTAAACAGAGGATAAATTGATATTGTAATGTGAGCAAGATGACTGTCTAGTAATATTACTAGTATGAGCTAAATAAGCAACAAGCATGAACATTTCAGCTTATGCACTTGTGCTTTGTAAGGTTATGCAGGCTTGATAAGAAAATGGATAGGCCTTGTGAAAACTATAAAACTTGGGATAGCTTACGGTGACACTAAAATTATTCCCGCTCAATAGACTATGCTCGGAAAAGAGGATTAGAAAAGCATGGGCCTTAAATATTGAAACTGAAGAATATTGCCATGCATAGACCACAATCAGTAAAGAGTATGAAAATGCATAAGCTTTAACTCATTCTCATATTCTTGAAAGTGAGCAGTTTTACTCCAAATCAAAACTGAACGATTTATATATAAAGTGGTTCTCTTTCTTTGCACAGCTTCTCAACTCCATATTCTTCATTCTTGAAAATGACCGACCCCAAACGCATGAGTAATTTGTACGCAAAAATAATATTTGTGGATGTACATTAAAAATAGCCAAACAGTGGACCTAAGCAAATGAACCAAGAAATCAATTTAGACCACATAAAAATGCAAACCAACATATGCTTAAATTCGTTAGTGATTATAGATGGAGTTATAGTGAGATATTAAAATATGAGTATGGGTGAAGTAGGATGGACTCACATTGGGATTCCTACAATGTCTTTCAGTAGGCCTTCTTTAAGTTGTCGACTCAGATACTTTATAACCATGAAGGAAGCCGGACCAGATCCTAATCCAACCACCATGCCACTTTTGATATAGTTATCCACCTACGCTACTTTCAATGGTTAAAATTAATATTTTTCTATAAAAAGAAATAAAGTGACCCAATATTTTAAAATGTGTTTTGAAAAATTGGCATGCCAGTGAGTAATCTTGCCTGTTATGAGACATGGTTCATTTCTATTGAATTGAACGGGTTTGATTGAGGATCTTCTTCTATACAATTCTAAATCAAATACTGAAAAATTACTGTAGATATAACATGTGATACGATAACTTATTGATATATTACAAACGGCTTCAAAATCCAAGATGCCTATGAATTTCTTGATGGATAATAGTAATGAACAACTTATCCGTCATGGATAATAGTAATAACCAACTTATCCCAGCCATCCCTTTCACCATTTTTTAATCAGACACAAAACAGAAGCAATGGATGATAAGGAATATGGTGATTTGAAATAATACCAGATTTCTACTGTAATTTATTTTACAATCATCAAACACAAAACCAAATGTAAAAATAACAAGGGAAATTCATCAAAATACACCTAAATTATCAAATATTTAACATTTTACCCATTATCAACTATTTAACTCATGATCAAGCATATTTTGATGGGATTTTATATAATCTAAATTAAATGAAGTGGATAAAATGTTACATAAATTCATCTCTTAGGTACATTTTGCTAAATATCCCTATAAAATAAAACCTAATTTTTATGAAAACTTAAAGAGAAACAACAATGACAGAAACCAATGAAACCCATAGGCCTAGTAGCATAATCTCATTTAATCATAGTCAGAAAAACATAACAAAAAAAAAAAAAAACTGAAAAGAAATAGAAAACTCTTCTTGTGAATGCAAATCAACACAAAATATCAGAATTCAGCTCCCAAATTAATGGAAATGAATTTTTCTCAATCCAATGAAACTGCAATGGATTGAAGGAGAAATACAGGGGGAAAAAAATAAAAAATAAAAAATAAATAAATGCCTTAAGTTTCAATAGAAAATATAATCTTTCTAATTCCTGAAATTTTAAATACTTGAATGCATCAAAATGAGAGATGAAACTCTAATCGATTCCATCGTCAAGAAAATAGAGAATAATTAAAATAAATTAGATAAAAATAAAATTAAACTGCATTTTCAAAAACAACCCATCGCAGTTCATGCAAAAACAAAAATGGGTTCTGAGATTCTCGAAAAAATTCCTTTTCCCATGAATAAATCTTTGAAATCTTTGCAAATCGTTCGTGAATTTTTTGGGTTCTTACTGTGAACTTAGCTGCTTGTGATAGGAGATCATCAGCAGCGTTCCTCGCAGTAATAACCATGCTTTTCCTCGTTGGTCCCGTCCTTTTAATATGGAAATGATGTCTCGCTCTTCTGATTCGTTGAAGAGAAAGAGGTTGAATGGTGGGGGACTGGTATCGAATTGCAGTCGCCATTTTTTCGGGTCGTTATATCCACTTTAAGGTCTTCTAACGTCCAAGGTTTTATCCGCTACGCACTCCTGTTAACAACCGCACGTATATCTACTTGCTTAACGTTTAAATATGCATGAAAATTGGCGGTCCAAAAATGCCTCAGAAGATGCACTGTTTCAAAAAGTTGAAATTCATTTTTTTTTTGATGCCTATGCATCTTGACCATTATTTTGCAAAAAAATAAATTATCGGAGTAACGCCTATCCTCCTTTCAATGCTATGTACTGTGTAAAGGCCATATTAGGAAGACATATTTTTTTGGTAGTGGGAGAGGTAGAGTACATTGGACTTGTTATGCACTACATCATGTTGAAGACTAAGAACGTCATAATGGTTCAAAATGGGTTATTGAGTCTCCTGTTCAAAAGTTATAGGGTGAATCAAACACAAGTACCTTTACCTTTCTCGACATTCTAACAAGTAATCAAATAAGTTTTAGGGTGATTCAAACACACGTACCTATAATTTATTCAACATTCTAAACGGTTCAAATTGGGTTATTGAGTCTCCAATTCTAAAGTGAATCAAACACAAGTACCCGTAACTTCCTCGACATTCCAACAAGTAATCCATCTATACTACGCCGATAGCTTATCAACATACTAAGAGAATTTTGATTCAACCACCTGATGAAGTTATAATCATACCCGTCTCTCATTGATAGGGATCAATTCCAAGTTGACCAAATACGAAAACGACTAGACCCGTGCGAGTCACTAAACTTTAGGGTGATTCAGACACAAATACCCAAAACTTTCTTGGCATTCCAGCAAGTAATCAAACAAGTTTTAGGGTGATTCAAACACAAGCACCCAAAAATTTCTCGACATTCGAACAAGTAATCAAACAAATTTTAGGGTGATTCAAACATAGGTACCCAAAAACTTTCTTAACATTTCAATAGGTTATCAAAGACATATACCCAAAACTTTATCAAAGACATGTAGCCAAAACTTTTTTAAACCTTTCGAAAGATATCACTCCACTTTTCAGCAATGAAGAACTACTTGTTTTTTTGAGAACATTTATCTTCTAGCAAACAGAATTTGAGGTAATTTGAGGGATGGCAAAGGAAAATAGAAGAAGGAAGTCATGAACATAAAGAACAAAAATTTGGTGGGTATCTTTTAATTAAAGGGAATTTTAAATATGAGGAATAACAAAGAAACAAAAAAAGAAGAAAGTCATGAACATAAGAACAAAAGGGAATTTTAAATTTGAGGGATAACAAAGAAACAAAAGAAGAAGAAAGTCATGAACATAAGAACAAAAAAATTGGAGGGTATCTTTTAATTAAAGGGAATTTTCGGTATGTATCCGTAAATTACTCCTTATATACCCTTTCCGGTATTATGGTGCTAAGATGGGGCCATTTTTGTAAACATTGTTTCAAAGCTGACCCCGTTAAAAGAGAGAGATGACGAAGTGTCAGAGAATTCCAACTCTTCCATGCATTTTCATTTTTCTAGGGTTTCGGTGTAGCTTGTAAAACCTCAAGCCACTAATCATCTTCTGCAAATTACGAGGTAAGAAATTCATAATCGACTGATAGTGTTTCACGACAAGTGAAATTGTTGATTTTGTAATATTTGATTAAGATATTCAAATTTTTTCATGCATTTGTGCACAGATCAACTAGGTTTTTTGAGTTTTTTCGTATTATTCGGATGGTCGACTGCGGTTTCATGCTAGAGAGGAACTGATCAATGGAAATCTGGATTGAAATAAAGGATTTTTTTGGTATCGGTTATAGCAGTTGTTCTCACTTTATTTTAGATTTATCATTGATTAAATTGTTCTGAGATACATACTTTTTCACCATTTCTTAGAATTTATTCAGTTTTGAGTGGATCATGCTAGGTTTGTGGGTCTCTTTCCAACTTTGTAAATTAGGGCATGTGATATCTTAGTAAGAAAGAAACTCATCATTTGAAAATTGAACTAACAAGAAAAAGAAGAGATGGAAAAAAATAGCATG